TTAACTGTCCTTTTCAGTTATGTTATTGCCCGTTATAGTTCACATGCGATAGAACATATTCTGTATATTGATCAGTTGTATTTTGACATTTTAATTCAGGATTGTGGTTCAGTCATTTATCCTGAGGAATCCTGCGGTTTGCAGCCTCTCTCTGCTGAATACCTGTCAATCATTTCACAGCCACAGTTGAAGACATGTGAAATGGGGGATGTAAAAGGCATGTTTTTAAGACATTTTTTGCATATTCAAAAATATTCTCACCTTCTTACAAGAATGCTGATTCCTTGCTTCCTGGCACTTGAAAATTAAGAAAAGGCTCAAGCTTTTGTCAAAAAAAATAATTTGTTAAATCATCTGCTTTAAATTATGAATAATTAATAATGATTAAAATAATGCTTTTGCCTTAGAAAAAGGAATTTTAGCTCAGTGGCAAAGCACAAGCTATGCATTTTGGAAATAATGGCATCTGCCTATTGCAGCAATGGTGTTTGTTTTTTTTTAAAAAAAAAAAGGTAACAAAACTGTAGATAACTTTCAATTAAAACTCAAAAATGCTGAATATCAGTTCATGGAGACAGAACTGATATTGCCACTTGGCTAAGTGATGCATTGTGGTTAGAGTTCTGGACAAGGACTGGAGAAATTTAGATCGGAATGTATAGTTGCATCTATACAGTTTCCTAGGGAATGTCATTGTATCCAATGATTTTTGAGTCCATTCTGGAAATCCTTGGAGGTTTTAATCCTTGGAGGTTAAAAGAGGAAAGATGTAAATTTAAATAAGTAACATTTCTATGTCAAGGAAATATTTGTTTTGTTGCCTTAAGTCTCTTCCACTTGGGTTCATTTTTATTGCCTTTTAATATTGGGTCAAGAGAAACTAAAAGTATTTTGATTTCTAGGCATAAATGTCTGCCCAATTTATTTCTGGACAACAAATTCCAGGTAGAGATGTAAAAATGGTTATCATCTACTTTCCAGGACAGTGGGTTGTTCCTTGCCTTAGTTGTTCTGATAATAGAACCTGTGATTGGAGGCAGATAACATGGCAGCCAAGAAATTGTCAGTACCCTGTTCTAAATAAACCAAAACTCCAGAAGTGTGTAGAAAGAAAAAAGGTAAGTCACAAGGTTGGTAGAGGAAAATCTGTATTTTTTTAAAAAAATGATTTATCTCTTCATTTAAGTTATATTGTTTTTAAAAAGCTGAATACTGCGTTATTAATATATTAATAATTCTTCCATTGTAATTTTTACTGTAGTCCAAACAATATCCTAAGTTTCTTTCAATTAATGGATATTATATTATATTATATTATTATATTATATTATATTATAGTGTTAGATGTTAATTTGTTTTGCATGAATTCTGTTTTTTTCTGTTGGCATGTAATGCATGGCTTTGCTTCTGATGACCAAACTTATGAAGTCTTCCTTCATGTTCTTGTGTAGGCCTCAGGTGGACCTCACTTTTCTTATCTTGAAGATTCTAAGGCTGCTTGGAAAAAACAGAGTCTCTTTAATAAGCATGGTTTGACTGTCTAACATCTGGCTGAGATGTGTGGCACAGGTACAGCTGTTTGCTAATACAAATATTCAGAAGTAAATCTTACATTTGCAAATATTGCAATGTATTATACAGATAAAAATAAATACTTAAAAATAACCCCAATATACAGTAACCTGCATGACTAATGAATATCTAAAGCATTCAACAATATATGTTGCATGAACTTCTTTAACACATGCGTTTTATTTTTTGGACTATATAGTAGCTCCAAGATTCCCAATTTAATTTAGCAATTAAAGTCTAAAACATATGTTGGGCATTGTGGTACTTAATTTGCCTTATATTAGTGTTTCTCTACTTCAGCAGTTTCTACGATGTATGGTCTTCAACTTTCTGAATTGCCCGTGTAGTATTCTGGAAGTTGAAGTCCGCACATTATAATGTTGCTGAGATTGAGAAACACTGTTTTATATAATGGCACGTTGTAAAATGTTCTGGAATAGATGAACCATAAAGTAATTGGCACAATAGAGTAAAAAGAAAAGAAAGGTTGGGTCTGATCTTTCCTGCTGGTGTAGTCAAACAGAATTACTGTCAAGGTTGACGGCAAATATCTATCATTCCTTTTCTCTTCCTGACTTATTTAGCGTGCAATTCTTCAATTCCAGCTGTGGCCATTCATTTTTTTCTCTAGCTTTGGAAAACCTAAATTCAGTTATACTATCTAAAACTTGAACAATCTGTCTAACCATATTCCTGCCATAATTTCACCTTGCAAAATAATTGTTCTAGAAAGATCTCCTCTATTTTAAAACAAGTTCTATTCTATTTTTTAAAGCCCTTATTTATGGCAGGTTTGCCTGCTGATTCTTATTTAGCCTTTTTAAAAAGAAAAGATACTTTAATTCTTTTATTAAACAAAATAAATTTATAAATAAGGCAATAAACACAAAAACAAACAGAAAGAAATGACAAAAACATCCCATGTAGGAAAAAAAAAGTCGGCTCAGTTTTTAAACATATCATTAAGTCTTGACCACACAGAATAATATTGTTTTGTCTTTCCATTACATTGAGAGCCAGCCCATAAATAGAAAGCAAACAAGTATGAACAATCTACATTAATAATACTGGGGATGTGCTGTCTTCCCAACTTTGAAAAATAATATTTTTTGGTCCTTGCCATGCTCAACAAATCTATACTTTTTCATACAGTGGTATATTTTAAATATAATTGAGGAGTTTACTCACATCTACAAAGCATAGTAAATGTAGAATAATGTAGGGCTGAAATTGAAGAAAATATTTTTGTGATATATTTATGAGCATCAAACCCAAAAAGGGAAATTGTGGAACAACTCATAAGCCACAAGCTAATTTCCCCTTACCCATGTCACAGTTGTGACTGAATAATGATGACAGCCTTTTAAAATATTTCTGGAGTCTCTATAAATACAAGATGATTTTTTTTTTGTTCAGTTAGTCTTATCTTATGATCATGAGAAACATCAAATATTTCAATCTTGAACTTGTTGATTTGTTAATATGAATATTTTAACCTTTAATTATGAGTTTTGCAATAATGAAAATCTGTCTTAGCAGTAGTTTTTATACGTTTATAAAAACATACTATAGATTTAGAATCATTTCCCCAAAAATTGTAATACTAATAAATTTGAGAGAAATGATATATATTAAAGGGATATATTGCTTATTTATAATTTTATGCAACCCAATTTTTCTTTTCAATAACCTCAATAGTATAAACATAGATATATCTTCAATTTATAACCAGTAATTGCCCTAGAGAATAAGTGGGAATAAGATCTAAAATTATATTTTTGTTCCAACATTTGGCAGATGCACCTTGCTGCATTTAATTCAGAGAATAAAATATTGCTATCACTAAAAATGGAACTAAGAGCCTGTTATGATATTAAAATAAAAGCTTGTCCGCAAGATGAATTGTTGGGATGGGGAGGAATAATGAAACACAAGGTTGTGATACAAACTCTGCATTTTTTGTATTTCAATTGTGACATCCGACACAAATATATAAGAGGCAGAGCTTGTGTCACAAATATATGTTTGGTCATTTGGTTAAATCTTCAGCTTCTGCAGATGTCAAAAGTCAGACATTTTACAATTGTGTCAACTTTTTAAAATTTCTGTTCTATAGAGAAATGGAAGCAATGCCATTCTTAAACTTCTTGGACATTTTCCCACAGAACTGCCCCATCTATTAATCTATCCAAGGAAATGCCTACCACTGGAGTAAATAATCTCTAAAAAATATAATAGAATAAATAGGTTCCTTTCTCAGTCTGGTACTTTTCAGATGTGTTGAACCACTACTTCTATTATATTCATGGTCAGCATAAACATTAGGGTGGAATTGTAGTCTGATAGATCCAGAGAATATCAGGTTGAAGTAGATTCTTTGTTCTGGAGCAGCAGATATCCTGACAAGATGGCAGAGAAAGTTGGAATATAATGTTGACAAGAACAGGTGATGTTCAAATCCTATGCTTCCCCATGAAACTTATGATGTGATCCTGGAAACACAGCTGCCCAAGAAATGTAGGTTCTATAAGGGCCAACAAATATGTTGAGAATTAGATTGGTAGGGCATCTCAGCTTTACATTTCACTAAGTGCCATAGCTTGTCATTGGCTTTATTCTAATCTCCCTTTTCATTTCAGCAATCAAGTTATTTCTGTCACTGCTAACTTAGGACCACTGGGTGGGGTGGAGAAGTACACACAGATTGTCTGAGACAAGAAAAAATGGGTTATAAATCCCTAAGCCTTCTGTAACAGAGCCTTGAGAAATCAAGGTTGTGTTAGTAAGGTTAATAGGTCATATACTGTAGAAAGAATGTCGGAAATGTATGCTTGAAAAGGGTTTATTCATTTTATATATAATACAATATATTAAAATTTTCTTTGAACTTTTAGTGCAATAAAGAATATGAAGGCTATATTACATGATACCTTATACTGTACCATCTGGAAAATGAAACAAGTTTAAAAGGACATTTAAAAAATGAAAGCCAAACAAAAAACTGGCTTGTAATAACACTTTTTATAGATTTTTCTTTTGTTAATTAATTTAACCATAAGTTTTCCTGCCATGTAGTTTCCTAAAGTACAAAACATCTCTGTTAAAATTAATACTAATAAATACATATCTGAAAAATTGCCTTTCATATTGAAAATATAGGTAGCCCTTGCTTAGCAACCATTTGGACCAATTGGGATCAGCCACACAGTTGCTAATGCTGTAACCGCTAAGTGGAAAATCACATGACCAGAATTGGCTTACAACCTCACTTCCCCTTCAGTTGTGAAGTGCCACTGTCCTGAAGCAAAAAAAACATGACCACGACTTATGATTTTATTTCATTCTTATCTATTAATTCTGCTTGTTGCAAGACAGTACACAAATGGCAATCATGTGAAGTACACAAATGGCAATCATGTGACTGCAAGATTCTGCAACAGTCGTAAATGCTCATCAATTGTGAAGTGCCTGAATGATGATTTCATGATCACAGGATGCCATGACAGACGTAACTTCAAGAATTAGTCTTGTAGCTATTTTTTTCACTGTCAGAATTTCAAATGGTTGCTAAATAAGGCAGTCATTAAGTGAGGACTACGCATACATTTATGCCTCTCCATCATACAAGTTGCTGTAATTTATTTATTGTTAGTCCACCAAGCATTCCTTAAACCAAAACTACAGGCTTAAGCTCCATTGAGTTCCACTGATCTATCAACTTTTGTTATTAAATGGTTTTTGGTTTTTCCTTTAAAGGTTCTTTTCATTGGTGATTCCACTAACAGAGGGATGATGTATTACCTGATAGAGAGAGTGAATGAGACACTTCAAGAATGGCAAAAGGCACATGGCATGAAGTTTTATCACAATGTGAACAATGGAAGCACTTTCATTAGTTATTCATATTATCCCCAATTCTGGATCAGTGTCAGTCAAAGACCTACATTTGAAGAAGCTCTAGAGCAGCTGCTATTCAGGTATGATAGAACAGTTGGCAAGATTAGTTTCCTTTTTCCTGGCATTCAGGTGTTTGAGTCAAGTGGTTCAGTTCCTGCCTTTGGGAGATATTTACAATGCATCAGATTCTCCACTGCTTTTTACCACTTCATCAGATTGAAAATTCTAGCAGTTACAATTTTGGAGAAACTATTACAATAGAAAGAGAATAACAGGTCTCCTCTGATCTCATATTTAACTGTACAGAGCAGGTACGGAGAACTTGCGGTCCTCCAGGTATTCATATATTAAGATACCTAATGAACCTAGACTATGCTCACTGGGAAGGGAAACTGAGAACTCTAGTGTAGCAACAGATTTCCCAACTCTGTTGTAAAGAACACTTTCCTTTCTGCTTTACATTTCAAAGCTGTTCATCAAACGTGTTTTCTATTCCTGGGAATGCTAGCATGCACTAAAAGAGAAAATGGTTCAGAGGTCGGAATGCAATGTCCTAAAATACCAGTGGAATGTTAAATATCTTTGAGCATCTTGGTTGGAGTGACTTCCTTGCATCAGGCATGTACTGCCTTTGTATAAATAATAATTTATACAATGAAAAATAAGAACAAGTAATACATGTTTAAATTTAAAATATGCAGAACTATAGTCTGTAATGGAAAATGACATCAGTATGTGTGGTCTGGCTGATGTGTATTGCAGTGTTGCTAAAATATAAACGCTACCATCTGTTCAAATGGTCGGGCAAAGTTATTGGATTATTATTATTATTATTATTATTATTATTATTATTATTATTATTATTATTGTTATTGTTGTTGTTGTTGTTGTTGTTGTTGTTGTTATTATTATTTCAGATCACAGCCATTAGAGAATACAGACCAGACCATACTAGTTATTGGTGGAGTCCAATGGCTTAATTTCAGTCACTTGCATATTATTCAAAAAGTACTAAAGCGGTAAGTATTAATATTGTAAGGTTTTTTTTTTTTGGTTTGACATTATATTAATAAAAAATAAGTATTCTTAGTGGCTATTTCCAGTATGATTTCTGGTATGTTTAGTGTTTGGGCATTTTTCTAGCCAATCATCTGTAGGATCCTGAATTACAATCCCCTAGCAACCCAGCCAATATGACTAACAGTGACAGATGCTGGGTGTTATTTAACAATATCTAAAGAACAAATCTCCAACTTTTTGTGACCTGATGGGCACATTTGAGATTTTGATATATTCTTCCAAAATGACTGATGTACAGTAAGTAGGCTTGCTTATTCACAAAACAGTTGCAAGCTGCTACATATCCACTTGGAAACTACTGATTTCTAGAATGCTACTTGCCATACCCTTCCCTACTATTCTTGACTGTTGCATTTTATTTTATTTTTTTATTTTACACACAAGTTTATAGACAACTGTTAAAGACTTGTTTAGATTCCAGGTGTATTCTTGGAAATAAAGATGATATTGAACATTTGTGCCTTGCTTTGCAGCATTTCATTGTTTAAATTAAAAATCTAAAAAGTCAGGGCAAATGATTTGAAAAGTATCTGCAGGCATATTGGCATCTCCAGATACCTTACTTAAAGGTAGCCTGTGACTTGGGAACCACAGTTTCATCAGTCCCAGTGACCTATATTTTAAATATGAAATGTAAAATCCAGCTCCACAAAAATGTCTTCTTAAAGAGTAGGGGAAAAGGCAAGTCAAGGAAGGCATCTATTCTTGTATCTGAATCCAAAAACCTCCTAACATAAATTTCACTTATTGGACCAGATAATTGGAGAAAACTGAATGTCCATCAAAATGTGCGTAAGTTTTTTTTTAATAGCATACACAAATGCAACTGTGCATCCAAATATACAGCTTGTTGAAAAAAACACAGTCTTGATGGACCATATATCCACTTGGGCACACATTGGGCTTTCGCAGTTCTTAATCTAGAAATAGGTATGTGGAAACCAGCAAATAGATCTCCTTCTTCAGACTGGGAGCTTCTAACAGGCTGGAGCTAAGAATATTGGAATGTGCTGAAATGAGTAGATTGACATTTGAAATTAGAGAACAAGATGATAAACAATTTTATAAAATTTGGGATCAATTTTATAAAATTTGGGATCTATTCTATCAATGGTTAGAGAATAAAATATAGTAATGAAATATGTAGATCCTTAGAAAATAATAAATATATAAAGATGTATTCTTTTCTTATTATATCTACAAAATGATTTTAGGATAGATTTGGGATGATAATATGAACCGTCATAAAACAAATTAAGTAAAATATGATTATTTCGTAAAACATGAATGAATAAAAGTATAGTCAAATGATTGATTAATAATGATATTAATGTATTTAATATTTGATTGAAAATATGAGAGTATATACAACGTAATTGTAATTGAAGACTACGAAATGGAAGCACAAAACCATTTGTAAACCAACCGGCACACTGTATGTATATATATGGAAGATGGCTTGATGTTTTTATGTTTTGTTCGTTTATGTTTTGTTTTAAAAACCAATAAAAATTTAAAATAAAATAAAAAAATAACATGCTGGAGCTGTTTTTGTGAACAGCTGTGGCAGAACTTCTTAAAGCCTGTGTTTGAATAGTAGGCCTCATATGAGGAAAATTGGAACTGTATACACCTGAGAGCCGAACTCGCTCTCTATTCTTTAATATTAGATGGAGCAAAATCGGTAGAAATTCCATTTGGAAATTGCATTTCCAATTGCAGTTCCCTAGCTAAATTACATGTGTGACAATTTCTGCTGCCATTGCTACAAAGCAGTTCATACCGGTAACATAGTGCTTGTCTGGGCTTACACATCAAATCTTTGGCATGTGGAGTTATCCATTTTTTTTTAGTTAGGCAGAATGAAGTGCATTTTGTCTGATTCTGAGGACATGGAAAACATAAAATAGGTTCCATTACAATTTGAGGGCCAATTTATTCGTCCATTTCTTTCTTTCGTCCTGATCATTCACACCTTGTTTTTCTGAAGATTACCTCTTTCATTCCTCCCCAATTGCTTGCAAGTTTAATATTGAGTCTGATAAAATATAAAAGAAATTGACATCAAAATTCCATCCATCAAAATAGCTTCTTATGAATATGATCTAATAAAAAATAAATTGATAACTGTAGAGACATTGGTATTAAATTATACCCACAAGGACGATGTCTCCATAGTTATCAGGCTAAAACATTTTTGTTAGATTATATTAGTAATACATGAGAAGACCACTATTAGTTTCTATTTTTACGTTAATGTTCAAATTACTAATGAAAAGATTAAGTTGAAAGTAAAATTTTTAAATAAAATGTCATTTTATTGAGTCTGAATATTATATCGGTGACATTTTTTAAAAATACTGCACCTATGCAAATCCCAGAATAAAATATATCTATTTTTCTCACTTGCTCTCTAGAATGAATCTCTCAAATATAATGGTAGTGATAAAATCCCTAGGAATGGGCTTTCATCTGCCAGTAGATGGAGTACACACTTTGTCGTCAGTAAGTTACAATTTGTTCATAGCCTATTAAAATTAATTGTTCTTTAAACCATAATTTTCTTTTGTTCAGCATCGTGATCCCAAGAATTGCACTGATTCTATAATATACGCAGATGCCAATAACAATAATTCCAAGGGATTCTTTATCGTTGTAGTATAGAATAACAGAATCTTGAAAGCCTGTCAGAGTTGCTGTCTATTCTATCTTATACTTAAGCAAAATCAAGGCAGAATTATTCTGAATGTGTTATGTTTTCTACTTTCTCGGGACTCAGGTAAACTTTTTTTGTCCCTTAGCAATTCAATGCACCTTTTCCCCTTCCCAGAGTTTGATCGTAGAAAAGGTTTCTGTCAGCCTCCCAGATAGACCAACAGGAAACATAAGATGAACTAATTCTAATTTACTGTGCAGCTACATTAATAGAATCATGCAAGTCTGAAGAACAAGTGACACTTGGTCCAACTGTGGAAAAACATAAGTAGCCAAAAGAATCATACTTTATGTTTATTCACAATATCTTTCTTCCCTCAGTGGCCATGCCATCTGGCAACAAACATGTATATTATGATTAAAAAAAATATGGTCTGAATTCCTTCCTTCCTCATGTCCATTCCATGAAGGATAAGCTCTCCTGCCTCTCTTTTTACCATCTAATCCAGGGCTGTCAAACTCGCGGCCCCTGGGCGGATGTGTCACGCACTAGCCACTATCACGCCCAGTTTAGCAAAGGGGGGAAAGTCACGCTATGTCATGTGACGCTACCATGACGATGCAAGTTTGACACCCCTGATATAATCCTTTCCAAAAAAATCTGCCCATTACTCAGTTATTAGCTCCTCCCCCTTTTATCTGATTGTTCCCTTTGCAACATCTCTTCTCCCTGTCTGGAAAGGTCATTCTTACATTACATTATACTTCCTCACTGAAAAACAACTTTGGGTCTAAGCTTCCCTCATTTGATTAAAATGGGGAACCCCAAGACATATTTATAGATGAAAAGCAAACTATGAATTGCACAGGTATATTAGGTACATGAGAGCTGGGAATACCAGACAAAACATAGATTATTGCATTTTATAGCAGTTGCAGTTTCCATGTGGTCTTCAAAGCAGTCTCATGTAAAGGGCATTGTAGAATCTAGTTGAGTAGTATTAAGGACATAAGTCATTACTAAATGATCCTCTTCCTCCAGAAAGAATTACAAGGTTCTTCTGGCCAAGAAGACTCTCAAGTTATGGCCATAGCCATCCTTCAGGAAAATACTGCCTTCCCAAGAAACAATAGAAAGCCATTATGATCAAACAACAATTCCATCTTATTAAAGTTCAACTTTAGTCTATTTTGTCCCATCTAGACCCCAATATCAAAAACTGAAACATTTGACAGCATTGGAAAACAAGTGACACTTGGTCCAACTGTGGAAAAACATAAGTAGCCAAAAGAATCATACTTTATGTTTATTCACAATATCTTTCTTCCCTCAGTGGCCATGCCATCTGGCAACAAACATGTATATTATGATTAAAAAGAATATGATCTGAATTCCTTCCTCATGTCCATTCCATGAAGGATAAGCAAACTTCGGACATGTGCCTTTGCTTTTTTAATGCAAGTTGTGCCAACTGAAGAAATGAAATATACTTCTAATTGAAGAATTCTGAACATTGTAATTTGTTCTGCATGCCAAAAACGAGCTGTGTTTTTTCAATACAAAACTTTCTCAATATAATTTGAAAGAAATATCAATTTGTTGTCCTATAATTTAGTATATCATTCTGATTTACTGTTTGTCACCCATCCATTATTTGATTCTCATTTGCCTATATTATCTTATAAAGATTTTTTTCATTAAAAAAAAATTCATAGTAGCTAGGAAACTTTGAATAAGATAAAAATAATCTAATGTAAAATTGAATTTCAGCCCTATAATGAGTTTGAAGGAATACATCACTAATTATATACAGCATTACTAAATGAGACCACTAATAGTTTTGTGTCATCTCATTTATCAATACCTGTAAGATTAGGGGTACTTAAAACACATTTTATTTTTGAAATAATTTCTCCTTCCCTCTCTTTTTAAATTTCACTTCCTCTCTTTCTCTGTCTGTTGTATTATTGTTTATTCTAAGAAGATCAAATTGGGAGTTGTTTTATCACAGGCACTCTTGTTTATACTTAACAAAAAAAAGTAGTTGTTCTTCTCAAATTTCCATTCAAATCATTCATTTACTTACCATTCTTCTATTCAAATAGAAACTAAAAATAAACAAAAAAATGTTGATGTGAGGTATCTTGATTTGAACTGCAGGCAGAAATACAGAATTTGTGGAAAGAAAATCTTGCTATTCTAAACACTGCAAAACACTATGGCTATGAGGTGGTTGATACTTTCATTATTACAATGGGACGGTACAAGGAATTTTTGCAAGGGAAATGTGGATGTCATTTTCATGAGGTAAGAATTTGGGGTTAATGCTTCAGCCTGGGTATTTATATGCTTTAAAATTTGTCCTACATTAATGAAAACATTTGAAATATAGCTATTTTTTTGGCAATCCACTGTAAGCATTTTATGGATAAATATAATTGCACATGGTGAAGATGTTCTTATTAAACATGCACAGTGATGTAGAACAGGGGTCTCCAACCTTGGCCACTGGAAGCCTGGCGGACTTCAACTCCCAGAATTCCTCAGCCGGCATAGGAATTCTGGGAGTTGAAGTCCACAAGTCTTAAAGTTGCCAAGTTTGGAGACCTCTGATATAGATTGGTAAGCCACATGCTAAATAAATAAATAAATTTCTATATGAGGGTTTAAAAAAACATAGATTAGTGTTTCCCAACTGGTAACCCTAAGTAATTAGAAGTGTGAACTTCAACTCCCAGAATTCTCTAGCCAGCATGATGACTGTGGAATTCTGGGGGTTGAAGTCCATACAACTTCTAGCTGCCAAGGTTGAGAAGCAGTGATGAAGATAATCAAAATACTGAAACTGAACCTAGTGAGATGAGAGTTTTGTAGTCTTCTCAGTTTAGAAAGAAAATAGAAGGAATTTCTTGATAGGTTGATGGAAACTCCAATCACAACATGCCAAGACCTGCATACCTGTACCCGTGAAAATCTACGAAAACAAACAAACAAATAAATAATAAAACAAAAATCTAAAAATAATATTAAAAGTGTCTAAGAAGAAATATAGGAGCAGTAAACGGACTTAGGAAGACATGGCAAATTAAATCTTTCATAATATAGAACACTATAACAGGGGTGTCAAAATGGCAGCCCTTGGGCTGGATGCATCACACGCAGGCCACACCTACCCCTGCTCTGTGAAAGGAGAAAACAATCACAATATGCCAAGTGGCAGCAACGTGACATTGCAAGTTTGACACCCTGCTCTACAATGATGTTAGGTGTTCATTAAAACTGGCTTGTTGCACAAAAGATGTGCTGCAGCTTTAGCTTTTCAGTTTGATCTTTTTCTCTTCAAGTTAGCAACAGTGGCCAAACAGTGTCCCATAGGTTCTTTAGGTGTTGGAGAAAGTAGGCTCAAACCAGGGTGAACTGATATCAGATAGACCCCTCACCTTGGGAGGTAAGCGTGTAGCAATTTTCTAGGCCTTTGTATATGCGCTAACGTTCCCCTATCTTTTTTTTTTTTGAACAAATTTTATTAATTTTTAAAGACATACAAAACATAAATACACAAAAACACAAAACATAAAAAATCTCTTTTCTGAAAGTTGCTTGGTCCCGGGTTAAAACTCTTGGTACAGACACAAACTCAAATTCATATTCATTTTACATACCATTTCATATCTTATTAACATTCCCCTATCTGAGGACTTTTGCCCCGTTTTTAACTTTTCTTTAGAGTCAGAGACTATAAACAATAACATGCAGAGATAGTTTAGTAGTGTATCTTATCAGTGATAAGTGACTGGTTGTACTTCCATTGACACTGCCAGAGATATTTTTTTCAGAAAAAGGTGTTCCTTTCAGGCAACACCTGGGCATGGTTTGATGATATATTTGTCAATAACTTGGGAGAGACTTTGGACTGTATGCAGCTTCCCCCTCCTCCAGCGAGGTAGATTAAGAAATTCATCCCATCCTCCTAATCGTTACAAGTAGGAATAGAGATAAAAGGCCAGAATGATTTGGAATATAATGCTGCAAGTGCTAGAGCTGCCTAAATAAACATAATGACATACAAATGTTTTAGGTGTCGATGTTTATATGCATAAAGGGGAAAAAAACTCCTTGTGTCTCACATGATACCACCGTACCATATATTTTCAATCCATACACAAAGGTTCTAAACGCTAAGAAAATGTGTGATTTCTCAAGAACGTTATTTAAATATCTTTAAATAAATCATCTACACTCTTTCAGAAAAACTATATTTGGCCGTATCCATTGCCATTCTATCCATTGTCAAAAGTAAAGAAGCCACAAAGTTTATCCATAGAGTTAGTTCTCAAAAAGCATGTATTTTTCCAAGCATGGTGATACTTGAGCAACTTGAGTATTCCACCATACAACCATGGCAGGAAATATTATTATTTGGGCTAATATTGATTTATATGCTTGAGTACCATAATCATAAATTGCCTAGCCATCACATTTATAAGTCCTGATGGTCATAATGCAATTAACCCAATTTTGCTATCTTTTTTATGGTGGTCATTAAATGAACCATTGGTTTATTATGAAGCTGTTTTTGTCAAGAATCACAAGTAAATGGCAATTTTCAACAAAACTGTCATAAACTGCAGTCATGTGACCATAAATGCAGCCCAGTTGCCAAATGCATGAAGTCGCATCACATGACTGAGTGGGTGGGTGGGTGGGACACAACAATTATAACCTCAAATCTGGATCATAAATACCCCCCCAGGCCAGGTAGGTCTATCAGAAACTTCAAACAGTGATTGGATTACCTGTATTTACATTGTTGGGTAGACAGAACCAAGTTGCAAAGAAGAAAAAGATAAGAACTAACTTTACCACTTTTGAATATTGCATTGAATATTGAATATTGCATATTCAAGTGATTGCAGAATAAAACAACAGTAGTTGTTAGTGACTATATCGTTACTCATATACGGCTTGAACTGAGAATTTGTTGCATGAACTCGAAACGTTGGTATAAATGCCTTGCAAACCATTCCTTCCGTCTCTTTCAGGTGGTGAAATCAAAGGCATCTGAAAAAGGCTTTCCTATAGCAACGACATTCTCAAGACGCTATATTCTGGGCAAATATTTCAACAACCAAAGCAATCTCGCAAAACTGCAAGCAGTTTATGCAACCAATTCTCAATCTCCTTATCATGTGAGAGGCCCAATCAATCAAGTTTATTCTGAAATCCTCCTCAGCAGGATCTGTGGGAACAACAGAAAGGATGTCAGCGTGTAATTTTGAATGGTAGGCATGTAGAGCTCAAAGACTCCCCACTTTCCCATGGAGTAGCCCACGGATCCTCTCCAATTTTTGTACACATTTCTCTGAAAGGCGGAACAGGCTAGCATAATTCAAGGCATGTGGGCATTTCATCAAAGCCTTAAGAAAATCAAGATGGATCTTCTTAGATTTGTGGTTTCAGAGGGAGAAACAGAAGCGCAAGAGGCGAAAGCAAGAAGAAAGAGTTACTTGAAAGAGCGCCCAACATTAAATCAGATGTAAGCTAAGTTTATGCAATATTGTATGATAGGATGTACTGCAATGCATTATCTCATTCCATGTGTAAAGTTTTTATCGTTATAAATGAAAAAAAATCAATAGAGGAAAATGTACTTTAAGCATTTGCATCGAGAAAATGATAGCATCAGTTCTAAGACTGCCACCCCCCAAAAAATCTCACAAGATATTTTTCTCCAAATTATGTGCCATCAAGTCAGTTTCGACTCCTAGTGACTACAGATAAATCGTTTTCCATGACAAACTGTCCATAACTTGGTCTTTTACTTCTTCCAACAGTCTATACATCACCACGGTAACTGAACACATCCACCTTGTTGCTAGTTATCCTCTTCTTCTCTTTCCTTCCATCCTTCCCAGCATTATAACCTTCTCTAGATCGCTTGAAATAATGTGTCCAAAGCAGGATAATTTGAGCTGGATCTAGTGAGTATTTTGGGTTGATCTTGTTCAAATTAATCTGACTTACATCCAAGATGCTAGGTAACTTCCACTTGTTGCTCTATTGTACCGATTAAGGTTACACAAGTACCATGTGGCTGTATGAAGAAGTTCTGTTCCTTCTTCTTTGTTCTTTGTTGGTTAGATCAGTGACCCCCAACCTTTTTTGTACCACGGCCCGGTACCGGCATCACAAAATGATCCACGGACCGGTACCGGCATCAGCACGCACGACCAAGGCAAGGCGAGCCGAGCAACCGGCCAGCCAACCGTCTCCCGCTTCTCCCCGCCACCTTCAACTCCTCCTTTGTACCTTTGTTGATGGGCTTTTCGGGCTCTTTCTTAATCTCCTCCTGAGTAACGCGAGACTCCACCGCCATCGGGACGGCTCTTCGTTAGAAGCCCCCCCCTTCGACGAAACTAAGGCGCGAGGATTCCTTCAGCACCCAAACGCCGCTTTCCAACCGACGACCGACAAGCTCACCCGGAAGCACTTTCTCAAGCACCGTCGAAACAAGACGACGGCGCCCACTTCTTTGCGGCCCGGTAAAAAATGATCCATGGACCGATACCAGTCCGGGGCCCGGTGGTTGGGGACCACTGGGTTAGATGATGCAGGTTTCACAATGTTTGTCTGCCAACAGAAGCAAAACTTTAAATAAAATTGCCCATATAAATACCTTTATTTTATAACGGGTGTATCAAACTTGATTTCATTGAGGGTCACATCAGGGTTGTGTTTGACCTCGTGTGTGTGTGTGTGTGGCCAGCTTGACGCCACTCATGTCGGGGCTGCCTATGGAGGTCTGAGCACTCTGCCAATGAAAACGGGCTCCCGAGCTCCATTTTTGGCTGAGATAGCCTCCTGCAACCCTCTGCCAGCAAAAACGGAGTTCGGGAGAGCTGCACGTGGCCTTCCCAAACTCCATTTTCACTGGCAGAGGCACCGTGGGCCAATCCTTTGCTGTTTCCAGGATGGCCCTGTGGCCCAGATCTAAGCACCCCCTAGGCCGCATCTGGCCTCCGGGCCTTGAGTTTGACAACCCCTGTTTAATAACATTACTTTTCCTTCTTTCTCTTCCAACAGTGGAATTGAGAACTCCTAAAATAAAATTATTGTCCTGTTTAGCAAAACCATTGAAGAATGGGGAAAGAAACTTCAACTTGTAATTTGGATCAAGGTAACATAAGGCAAGACCCAGTTTGATTAAGGTATCATAAATCAAGGCAAATATATGCATCCTCGGGCACTGGTGCAGGATCCAATCTGGGTAAGTCACCGGGAGCAAAGGTTGTCTCTTGAGCTTTCGGACACGTGCTGGACACGTGCCATCTTCAGAGTACTTCTCTCTACAGGAATGTGTCCTGGGCTATTCTATGCCTAGTATTTATGTGCCGCCTGATTGGGTGTGGCTTCTTATTGGTTGATTGGAGTATTGATGGCCAGCTATTAAGTTGTTGGCTGTTGTTACCTTGTACTGCCAAACCCTCAGCTCCAAAGTAACTGACAAGCTGGTGGTAAATCAGACTCCGGTTTGATTTCCCAGACTTCAATCATTTCCCTCTATATCTTTGTACCTGCTCAATCAAGGCATCAGGCCAGAAAAGGTATCAGGCTAGAAACCCAGGAGATCATAAATTCTAATTCCACCTTAGGCCCAAAGCCAGCTGGGTGAGCCTGGGTCAGCCATTTTCTCTCGACGCTAGGAAGTAGACAACGGCAAAGAACTTCTGAAAAATCTTGCCAAGAAAACTGCATGGATTGTTCACTCTAGACAGTCTCCAAGAATCAGACATAACTGAACAGAAGAAGGAAAAAGTATGAAAGAGACTGGTTTCCTAACCATCATGTAATGAAATTGTTGTTGCATGATTTGAATCAGTAGCAATATTTTCAACTTACATTTTTTAGCAATATGATGTATACATTTTGCTCTGCCAGAAATCACGCCCAAAGGTTAAGGGAGGTTACAGAAACCTAGATACTATTTGCTCAGCTCAGTGGGATTCTATGTGCCTGGCTACCCAGTTTACCTTGTTCGGTGGTATTGCCAACAGAATCATAGCAACAGCAACAACAAAAACAATTTCATTTTCTCTCAGGGACCTTGCAAGCGTTATATGCAAGGTATGGTAAAAAAAAAAAAAAAGATAAAAATGGTAGCCATGACGATAGGATAAATATTTTTTTAAAATGGAAAGAGCTTTCATCTCACCATCATTTATTTATTGATTAAATTTATATTGCCATCTATTTGCTCGTGGTGACTCAAGGCAGCTTATAGAGTATAAAAACCACATTTCAAACCATAAAACTAATTAAAAAATCAAATAAATTAATATAATAATACAATCATAATAAAATCATCCCTCACCCCGGCGACAGTAGATCACCTGGAGCTATTTAATGGGCTCCATCCGGCTCTGGGTTCCCCAGGCCCGCTGGCAGAACCAGGTCTTCAGCACCTTCTGGAAGAGTGCTAGAGTGGGGGTTGTTCTAATCTCTGGGGGGAGTGATGTTCCAGAAAGAGGGAGCCACCATGGAGAAGGCTCTTCTTCTGGGTCCCACCTCGGGGATAGGACCTGTAACATTCCCTGCCTTCCCGGCTCTGATGGGTCATGTAGATGTGACCAGCAAGAGACGGTCCCTCAAATAACCTGGCCCCAAGCCATGAAGGGCTTTAAAGGTGACAACTAGCACCTTGAATTGCACCTGGAAGCAAATCAGCAGTCAATATAGCTCCTGCAAGACAGGTGATACATGTGTATATGGGGATCTGTACAAAACCATACAGGCTGCTGCATTTTGCACTGACTGGAGATTCCGGATGCTCTTCAAGGGCAGCCTGATGTAGAACACATTGCAAGAGTCAAGATGGAAAGTGACTAGGGCATGAGTGACTTTGAGTAGGGATTGTTGATCTAGGAAAGGACGTAACTGGTGCACAACCCACAGTTGTGCAAAGGCCCTCCTGGCCATGACTGGCACCTGCTCTTCGAGCAGTAGTCGTGAGTCCAGGAGAACCCCCAGATTGTGCACAGGGTCTGTTTGGGGTAGTGCCCCCCCCATTCCAAGACCAAAGCAATTTTCCCTGAGCCAATGAACCCCAAACCCACTGGTCTTGGCAGGGTTTAGTTTCAACCCGTTGCTCCCCATCCAGCCCCTAACAGCCTCCAGGCACTGTGAGAAGGAGACACAGCATCACTTAACTCACCACGGGCCGAGACATACGGCTGAGTATCATCAGCATATTGGCGACACCTCAGCCCATGGTGATGAATGATCTCACCCATGGCTTTATATAAATGTTGGACAGGAGCGGAGAGAGTACGAAGCCCTGTGGGACCCTGCAAAGCAGTGGGCGGGGGCCGTCCTATCAACACTGACTGAGAAGGATGCAGAGGAAGGAAGTGAATCAGGATAGCACAAGGCCTCCCACTCTCATGCCCTGACGCCTTTCCAGGAGAATACCATGGTTGATGGTATCGAAAGCTGCCGAGAAGTGAAGTAGAGCGAGGATGGATGCACTCCCCCTATTCCACTCCCTCGGAGATCATCCAAAAGTGCAACCAATGCCATTTCTGTCCCAAATCTAGGCCTGTGCCAAATCATGGATGCTTTCTTGACTTTTCTGTTATATCCTGCAAACACCACTGGTCCCCCCATTTGGACACATATTTTGCCTTTGCTCATTTCACTGATACCAGAATGCAGTGTCCTCAAAATTTCTGAATATAAATATTTTTAGTAACCTTACAGAAATGATTATGCATGTTTCTCAAATGAAAAATTACATACCTAGTCTAAACTTGAAGTAACTTATATTAGTGCCCAAGGTAAACCTGAAATAAAGGTAAACTTGACTTACTGAAGAGTCTTAAGATAATTATATTTACTTATAACTTGAATATTCCTATGGATACAAATTCTGATTTAAAAAACAAACACATTGTGTGGTTTCAGAGAGCTTGGTTACCTTTCAACAGAAACAAATATTTAAAGAGTATTGCCTGTATAAATATTTTTATATTGAAAGTAATGTTAAAGTTGGACACATACAGAAAGTCTTTTTTTTTTTTTTTAAAGTAGAAGGAATTCTGGTTGTGTGATAAATTTCATGCTGGCAAAGGTGCAATGTGAATTCTGTAGGTTCACCATCATATGGTTATCCTATGCTGTACTTGACTATGCTTCATGTTTCTCAGGTGTCTCTATTTTCAAAGTATCATTTCAGTGCTTTATTTTTATAGGTATATTTTATGTAAACTTATCACTGTAACATGCAAATCAACCTAATATGAATACGAACCATAGATGTTTATCAGTGATATCTAAATTGTAATTAGGCAATAGTAAATATGTATAAAATAAATGTTGATACACTGTATGATCTATTTCCTTAGTATGAATATCTTTTTAATTGGCACGTGACAACAGATCAGTGAAAATATCACACAGATAGTCCTTGATTTACAACTGCAATTGAGTCCATAATTTCTGTTGGTAAGCAAGGCATTTGTTAAGTGAGTTTTGCCCCTTTTGATGACTTTTCTTGCCACATTTGTTACGTGAATCACTGCAGTTGTTAAGTAAGTAACATGGTTGTTAAGTGAATCTGGCTTCCTCATTGACTTTGCTTGTCAGAAAGTCACAAAAGGTGATTACATGACCTCAGGACACTGCAACTATCATAAATATGAGTCAGTTAACAAGCACGCGAATTTTGATGATATGACATGGCGGATGCCACAAGGGTCATCAATGTGAAAAGTCACTTTTTTCATTGTTGTTGTAACTTCAAACACTTATCAAATGAACTGTTGTAAGTTGAGGACTACCTGTTTTCTCTTGTATATTGACTTGTCTGTTTTCTTAGCATCTTGATGAAGAGACATATCCTAAACATCCTGTGAAACAATATGACTAAGCTGATTTCATTGGATCTTTTGGGGGGATAATGCACAGCAATGTCTTGATATTTTATATTCAGGATATTTTCAAATGGCAACAGAATCTCCACTCAGACTTATTCAGTGATTATGAATGTTAGACATCTGTAAAGGGCAACTCAAGATTTTTGACTAATAATAGTCATCTTCAGCCATGTTGTATTGTCCTTCACAGATTTTTGTCCATTGCTCAGAAGTTATCCAGAGTTATTCGG